AAGAGCAGTAGCGTGTCAAAGATCGCTCATCGAAAACCCCAACTGGGCCTCCTCGAAGTGGGCTTCTGCATCGCTGGGATAGGTGATCCCACTGAGGCTCGGGGTCGTCAATTGTAGGCACCTCAGAAAGGTCAAAGGCAGTATGGTTGCGACAGCTTGCCATTCCCCTCAGGGTGATGACGATGCTGCTGCTGCTGATGATGATGATGATGATGATGATGATGATGATGATAATGATGATGATAACGACGACGACGACAACGACGACGACGACGACGATGACGACGAGGACGAGGACGAGGACGAGACAACGAAGACGACGACGACGACGACGACGACGACGACGACGACGACGACGACGACGACGACGACGATGACGACGACGACGACGACGACGACGACGATGACGATGCGGACGATGACCATGCGCATACGACAAGTAAGGTGCTGCGGCTGCTGCTGCTGCCGCTGCTGCTGCTGATGATGATGATGATGATGATTGTTATTGATGATAATTGATGATGAACAGGAGGGATGTTCGGGGTAGGCAAAGAATAACTCATCTCAAAACAAGGCATACCCAAATGCTTGGTCCTTCCTCTCCGTGCGTCCTGGCGACTCGATGCCCATCCGGAACGGGTCCGTCACATCTTTGGGCACCGTCCGAGCCGCCTGCACACCGCCCCCTCTTTCGAGCGACCGAATTCAACTGGTTCCAAGGAGTGAAGGATTCCTAGAGTAGGACACACCACTTGCAAAATCAACGGGAAGCTGATTGACCTTGATTTCCCATTGATTTCCCATTACACTGCCCGCTGTGGGGCTTCAACAAGTTGCTTCATGAGCATGTCGATCTACCAGGCCATCACCTCACCTGGTGGAATCCCGGTTGGACACTGGCCCGACATGTGAGTGTTGAAGCACGAAATGCGGGAACTTGCATGTTCTGGTCTACGTTAAGTGAATGCTTTGAACACTCAACAAAACAGAAGAGACGACAATCGCCAATTGCCGCGCCGGAGTGTATAACGTGTCCATCTCAGCTAAGGACGAAAGGCCAACCATCGAGAACATGCCCACCAACATCATCATACTCTAGGGGGGCACATTCTAGGGGGGCACATGGCGTGGGGCACGTGGCGCACCAAGAAACTGAGCACTGCCCTTACAGCCAAATACTGTAGTACCAACAATATCCAAGCAGCCTGGATCGTCTGACTTGGGGAGTGGGCTTGGTGAAGTCGTCAAATGTTTCAGGTCCAAAAGTAGCTATGGGAAGGGCAGCATCGCATCCCCCAAAACAGTCCTGGGAACCTCATAGTCAAAAACTTGCTGATACAGAGTTGTTTGCCGCGTCTCCAACCATATAATAAAGTCCGCCTGGTCCTTGCAAGGATAAGCTTTAAAAAAGACAACGAGGCGTCTTCTAAGAAACATCTGCATGGACACTGCCGACTTTGGGACTTTAAACCAAAAACAACAAGAAAATACATACCCATTTTGTCACATCAAGGTTTGGAAAAAGTACAAGTTGGAAGCTTTATCTCATTTGCGAAAGCCCTGTGCTCAGACTTCGTCAAGAGTAAGCGGCTGCAAGTGGATGGTCCCTTCATGCGGATCCTTATAGTTGCCTGACGCATTGCGTTCTGTTGCAACCCCTCGCCCGAACGAGGCTCCGCCTCCTTGATCTCCTGAGCCTTGTCCTTCCACCTCTTTTTAGGCACCAGCTGCGCGCGTTTGACGTGACGCCGCATAGCGGCGTCGAGGCTTTGCATCAAAGGGTCCCACTGCCTCGCAACAAACGCAACTGGTGGCCAAACGCGTTCCATGATACATGAAAATGCAAAAGTGCTGAAAAAGGAAGGTGCTGAGGATGGATTCTGAGGGCTCAGGAACCTGACGCAACTTGTCTTGCTCATCACAAGTTTGCATACTGCAGGCTGCAGCGGAACACTGTTTGTCGCGACGACAACCTCATGATAAAGGAAGCAGCTATCATGCGTGTTCGGCATACAAGACACACAAGCGCATTGCCGTGGTAAGTGTCATGCACTTTGAGGAAAAAATGCGTCATCATGCTTCCGAGTGGACAAACGAAGCCACACGTCCAAACCATCAACTATGTAAGGGCTCTCCTCTGCACATGCTTACGGAACCTGCGGGAGGGTCCCTTGGAGCGGTCCGCTGTGTGCAAGGCAAAACCCTACGGGTGGCATGTTCTTAGCAAGGACAGTTTTGGAAGGCAGCATCCGGTGCTTCCTTGGCCCAGTGCTCGGGCTCTCCCGAGCGCTTGCTTTGTGGCAGAAGGACGCATGCTTTGTGCCAGGGAGCGTGCCCAGGAAAAACATTGAGAACATGAGAAGCACCGTCCGGATGCAAGGCCACAGGCTCCTTGGCAAGTGCGTGAACTGGGATTGGCAGAAAATGCCTTGTCACTCGGTCACGGCCTTCTTCGGAAACTAAACCGTCTAAATGGGAAACTAAACCGTATTCTCCTGGAAACTAAAACAGTCTTGTTCGGAAACTAAACGGTCTTCTGCGGAAACGACCAAGGAAAAGTTCCTCGGAAACAAAAAACACCCTTCCTCCGAGAGGGCGTAACACCCCCAAAAACATCAGAGGAGCGCGTAGATCCAAAGCCTGAAGCGAGGGATCCACAACCCAACCCTCCCAAAACAAATGTTAAAGCCTGGGGATCATCACTCATACCATCTGCGAAAGCTGCGTCTCTGCAAACTGCTCGTTCCTGAACCGTTCTAGTTCCTGAATCGGGCCTTTATAGCTGCTGAACTGTAGTTGCCAAATCGGGCCTGGATAGTGACTGAATCGTAATCGCTGAATCGGGCCATGTTTACTCGTCCGGCGAAAAGTACCAAGGGCTAATAGGGACTATTCGTTCTTCAATCTCTTTGGGAGCTCCAGGTGTACAGAGGGAGCAGACCACGCGGATCATCTTTCGGTACGACAACTTGCCTCACAGGCACAAGGGAGCAAGCACAATTGGGTAATGATTTTCGTGCTTGAAAAGGCGTGCTCAAGGCCAGAGGATACAAGAGGCTATTCTTGTGGAGCGCCCACCATCACCCAAAGGTCAAAAAGTTGGCTTTAGGCAACTGAGAACACATTTCCTTCCACCCAAAATTGCGCGCTGGTGCTTCCTGCCGCTTCCATGAAGCATTCTGTCAGGGATCGGCTCAGGGTCTTCTTGCAACTTCCGGCGCGGGCATGGCGAGGTGTCCTCAGCGGTCGCTTTCCGTCCCAGGCACGAGGCCAGCCATCCACGTCTTTCGAACAAGGCACCGAGTCTCAACAGTCATGTGAGGGCTTAGTGTCTGGATTAAAGTCTCCCACACCACAGCCCTGAGAATCGTCAATCTTTAATCAAAACATGCATTGAAGTGCGCTAGAGCAGTTCAGTCAACTGCATGGACAGAAAAACGCTCGAATGTTGAAGGTCTGGGAAAAGACTCCCAACAAGACATGCAAATTGTTGCTTCTATGTTTTCTCATGTTTGTTTCTCTTTTGTTCTTCGCCATCTGTTTTCCTTATTCATTCATGTTTTGTCTTGGGGGGAGGCGGTACCATACAGACGGATGGATAGATAAATAGATCGATAGATCAATATATAGATCGATACATCGATAGATCGATACATCGATAAGATAAGATAAGATGCCAAAAAGAAAAACACATGTGTGTATCATGCTCAACAGACCTGATTACTTGGGTTCATCCATGCTGCGAGTGAGAATCACATTAAATTCAGTTTGGAACACATACATGATTGTTCCTGCGTTTTCTTTAGCTTTTCTCCCTCACAATGAGCACAACTTTGACCAAGCCGCTGATCCCGCAGGCGCCGAGGGGAAAGCTGCAGTCAGCGGCGCCTCCTCATCCGACTCCAGAGCTTCTGAAGGGGGGAGCGCTTCGGGCTCAGGATCCGGCATGGCACGATTGCAAGCAACTTGCACCCAGGTCGTGTGAAGCAACTGTCTTCGGGTTTGAGCTAAATGGGTCGGCTCTTCTCTCTGTGAAATTGAGGAGTGATGCATTGAGGCACAGCTGCTGGAACTATGGCCTTTGGAGCTGTTGCATTCTAATGCACAGCCTTTGGCAGGAGGTGCGAGTGACCGCTTGACCTCTTGATCTCTGGATCGTGTGCCTATTCCTCTAAGGCCAGGAAGCCTGCAAATTTTTCGCAAGGCTTGAGAAAGCCACGGAAGGCATCAAGTCTCTCAAGGGACCCTTCGAAATCCTAGTTGTCCTTGGCTTCTGTAGCTGATATCAGTCCTCTGAATCTAGACAATGAATCTGAAAGCATATGGCATTCGACTAAACGGCCAAAGCTATCTGAGATGTCCTGAAGTGCTGGCACCAACGCGAATATCTCTGAAGCTCAAATAGTCTTCAAGAAAGGGCTAACTCTTTCCAAAACAAGAAGTGTGCAGCGTGAGGAGGAGCTGATTACGCATTTCAGATCTTTGCTTGTGCAGAGCAATGCACTTGCAAGGGGGTGTCCCGCACTGTCACTTCTGGATGCCTGAAGCGCAACCAGGAAATTGCGCTATGAGAAGCAGATGTTGATCGCACAGGTCGCCTGACCATTCTACACGACGGAGCTAAGAAGACCTGCATCACTAATTACCTGCCCACAAATGCACAAGCACACTCTCTCTCACACACACGTGTCGTATTGTATCTGTATATGGATATTGGGATATGTACATATATGTTTCTTGTTTATTTATATGATTTATGTGTGTAATGCCATGGAATGCAACGCAATTCAAATGCAATGCCAAGGAATGGAATGGAACAATTCAAATGCAACGCAAAGGAATGGAATGCAACACAAAATAGTGTAATCAAATGTATGATACGTATGATATGTGAGATACGTATGAGCTGTTGCAACTGAGCGAGTTTGGCGGTTTGCGAAGCCAACTTTGCCATGGGCCCCGAAGCCTGCAAATGGAAAGCTCATTGCTGTCCAAGCATCTCTCAGCGCCGTGAGCGCGAAAAGCCCTTTCTCCTGGCAACTCTAGCCCCAAAAGCTGGCAAATGCAGCCAGGAAACCACTGCAAACTGCTGGGAGCTGTTTCTTTCAACCAATCAGTCAGCTGAGGATTCTGTAGAAATACCTTGTCAAGAAATGTGGGAAACACTAGCGGATGCACGATGCCAGGAGTGGCATGAAATCATTATATATATATATACTGTGATCCCCGGATGCATATCGCTCGAGAAGAAAACCTCGTGCGGATCTGCACAGGTTATGAGCCCAACGCAATGGCCCCAGGCTAGCTGCGCCATGGACCCGGGCATGAGGCACAGGGCAGATCGCTGGACCTCCAAATGGTGGCCGAAGCCGAGGCGAGGTGCTGATCACGGAAGAGGAACGGGCGAGTGCGGAGCCCGACGGTTGAGGGTCGCAGCCGAAGGGTGCCAATCCGAAAAGCGGAGCTTCAGGCTAAGCGGCCTCTGCCGAGCGAGGACAGGGCGGGAGTTCTGGGATGAGGTGAAAAGGAGCCTGGAAGAAGACTGGGAGAGAGCCAGTGAATGGCTTCAACCTGCTGGAGGGGAACACCCAGAACATAGTGACGAAGGTCAAGGCGGCGGAATGGAAGCGTCTTCAACAAGCTGCGAACGAACTTCCGGTCAGGAAGGGGCGATCCACTTCCAGGGAGGACCGTCCGCAAGGTGCGAGGGATGGAGCTGGAAAGGGAGTATCGCAGCAAGGTCACCGAGCACGAGAAGGAGGCGAGAGATGCGATGATTCAGAACCGTCCAGGGAGAGCTCACGAAGCAGAACGAGATGTTGGAATGGAGGAAGTGGTGGAAAAAATAGAAGTGCAATCGTGCTGTACGGAGAGCCGCGGAGATCCGGGAACAGCTGAAACTGCTCTGGAAAGAGAACCCACCCGAAGGACCGGCAGGAGTGGCTGAACAAGGGTGCACAAGGCCTGGGGAAGGTCAAGGAGGCGACCAATGGCCATGCAACGGTTTGGTGCCCAGAGACGGTGGCATTCAAGAAGACGTACAAGCTGGTGGAGTCAGCTTTCGATAAGAGGCCCTTGGACACATGAAATGTAAGCCTACGCGGGTGCTGACTGACATGAAGGAGGCCATGGCGCTACATGGAGCGCGTAGTCCGGGGCATCAGGAGGTGCAGTCCATCCAGGTTGGAGGAGTCAGGCAGCTGGACGGCAAGGGCAACTGGACTGAAGGCGTGGTCGCAGGCACCGTGAATTGTCGGCAGGAAGCCATTGTCGAGCAAGCTCAAGTGGTCCAAAACGCAGGTCGATCGGAGGGTTGCGGAGGTGGTGTGTCGCCGATTCCGGGAAGGAGGACCACTAGGTAGCCAGGGGTCCAGGACAGAACCTTGGGAATTCGGCTGGCAGTGAGGTCTTCGTCTAAGCAGACGATTCGGTCGGAACCCTGGCCAAAGTCAATGACGTGGTGCGGGCGTTCAACCATGGTGGGGGAACCAGTGCTTCGACCAGTGCGAGCAGTGGGAGAAGGCTGGGCGAGTGAGCGTGTCATAGTTGCCTTTCGGAATCCAAAGAGGAGCAATGGCTCAGGTGGGAAGGGGAATAGGGCCACAGTGCCCGACGTTGTTATGGCTACAAGGTAGCCAGGGAGTGTGATCCCCAAATACATATGGCTCAAGAAGAAACCCTAGCACGGATCTGCACACACAAATACAAAGCTAGGTACATGCCAAATGACCAAAATGCTTGCCTGTCGCGCGGTGCAGGCTGGGCTCCGCCGCTTGAGTTCATGATTGGAGGCACCAGATCAGATCTCACTGAGACATTGTGGCTATCCTGAGCGTAACACCAGACTGAGGGAAACCTTCAACGCCTCCCCCAGCCGGCTCCCATAGTGAAAACGAACAATGGCCAATCGACTCCTCGCTTCCCAGGCTCTCCACCAGAGCTTTGATGCGCTGCTCAGACTGAACCACCTGTTTGGCAGCAGAGCCGGAGTAGTCTACCGAAAAGCAAACCTGACTTCCTAGTGCTTTCAGTTTTGCAGGAACCCCATGCTACGCGGTTCAAGAGAAGTGAACGCCTCAAAGTGACTGTGTCTAGCCCGTGATTCATGTATTTGTTGATGCACGTTTCAAGCGGTGTAGTCCCAACGACAAATCACATGTGTCCTGTGGTTGGAACCGCACAACCTGGGATGACCTTTCGGTCATTGCTGTGCCACACCAGTCACCACAACAAAAAGACAAGGCGTGCTTTGCTGGACCTGCAGAGATTGACTTGCAAAACCAGGACGGAAAGAATCCAAGCGGTCGTGGGGTCCAAGATGCTAGGAGGATGCTAATCATGAGTTTGATTGGAGGGTAGATAAACCTCAATAGTTGCGCAACTTTAGCAATGGCTTCCGCTGTGTGACTGCCCACACATGTTCATGTGTTGTTGTGCGTACTAACTGCTTTTTACTTCAGATAGAAAGGAATGCGGAAACAGCTCACAAGACAAAGGAGTTGTGGTGGGTTCCACGTTGGACTTTTTTTTGCATCCTTTTAGTTGCTCATTGGTTCATCGGGGCCCCCAAAAGGCCATCGGGGCCAAAGGGGCTGTCAAGCGCACGCCTTCCGGGCCGCCAAGGGTTGGCCGGGCTTGGACGGCGCCTCCAGGTCCACCTTGACTCGGCGAAACCAAAGATATCCGGAAGAAACGAAGGATATCTACAAGTGGATTTGTTTCTTGTGTTTTTTCTTCAAAACACTCAAGGGTGGAGGAATGTTCACCTAAGCAAAAAAGCACACAGTGGGCCAAAAACGAACGCCCATGGGTTACACTGGGGAAGGGCTCAAGCTTTCGCTGGACAAGTTGCCAGGTTAGGCATCACGAATGCCGTCTGACTGAGGAAAGGTTGCGGGGCAAAACACCGCGCAGCTGAACAAACACTAAGAAGAGGTCGGGTCTTCAACACGTGACGCGTGCTGCGACAAGTCGGCTCAGGCAACAAACATCTGGGTAGCTCCGCCCTCAAATGGCTATGGCTCAAAGTTCAGGAACCAGGGGACCACAGAATTTTCTGAAGGTGCCCATTTGCCGGGGTTCCTCTCTTTGAGTCCCGAGTCTTTCCCAAATGAAACGATTGGAGTGGCACTGGGTGAAGAGAACTTGGAGCCTCCGGCCTGCAAGCCGGCCAGCATGGCCTCCGGGATATGACCAGAGAAGGCCCCGTTCCGGATGAGGCACACCTCGGATCTTGGGAGTGCCGCTTTTTTGGGGGGAACCCAAAAGGCTGGCTTTCCTTGTGGTTGCCCTTTCAAAAAAAAAAGTGGGGTCCTCTCAAAATAGACACGCCCTGGACTCCCTGGAAACCAGAAGGGTCTCCCGTTGGTTCTCAGGTTTCGTGTAAGTGGCAAGACGGGGTGATGACCCAATTTCGACGATGAAAATCCAAAGGTAATCAATGGTGGTTCTCCGTTGTTTTATATAATGGTGGTTGGAATCTCAGAGTATGCCCTGTAAGGGACTGTTCAAACCAAGAACCGAGAAATCCTCTCAAGCTCTCCCAGTCTTCTTTCCCAAGCAGTAGAGCATCGCCGTGTAGAGAAACCTTTGTCGCTTACCCGTGGGCTCCTGTTCTTAGACATATGTCAGAAAGAATGCTTTGGGAAGTACGGTTCCGAGAAACAACAAACCAGCTTGGATATGAAGGACAAAGGTCATATCACATCCAAGCACGTGCATGAGTGGTCATGAACATTTTGAACTCGCAATACAGAACAGAGCGACTTCAAACATGCTCGAGCCGGAGACCAAATCCTCCTGGTCCTCGTTGCGACCGAGAGACTGCAGCTTCTTGATGGTTGTTGGCCACGGCCCACTGCAAGGCCGTCCTCCGGCTCTCATGTCTTCGGACTGAAATGGCGATGGAATTTCAAGAGTTGACCAACAAGCGGATCAAGTGGTTGGTGGACTTCTAATGCAAATGATGACCGAAGGCATCCCTATTAAATGCTTCTGTCGAAGCCAAGATTGGATGAGAAAGGGGAAGCAACTGAGGGGAACGTTTAATTCAATGCACCTCAACTGTCCAAAGTGGGCTGTGCCTGATGATTGATGCATCTGCTGTGGCTCTGTGGATGTTTCACCATTTGGTTGGCTCACTTGGCCTGTTGAACTCTTGTTGTTGGAAGGCTTTTTGCTGTTCGTGATGCAATCTGACAGCTATGAAGTGATCGGATCCTGCATTCATCAAGGAATCCGGGGGGTATTCAGTCCGCAAACCTCTCCTGCCATGGGTTGGAGGGGGGACCCGGTCCTGGCCCAGCGATCCTTCGCCTCTAGCCCGCCGTCCTTGGCCTTGAGCCCCTGGATAAGGCGACCGCGTGAACGCGACTCGGCAGAAACAAGCGAAACCAGCGAACCAGGAATGTCTGGAGTACATCCTGGTATATTGGTGGGTATCTGGCAAATGTCCTGTGGAAATTACCGCTGGTTCCTGGGAGACAGGGAAATGGACGGCTCTGACAATTCCATGATTGCTTCTGCGAGAATATCAATTGGCGCGCTGCAAGCCGCCAACATGCTTCGGGCTGGCTCTCGAGCGTTGCTCCAAACCATCTAAGCCTGCAGCAAGCTCCACCGACAGCACCAACCACGGACACCAACGAGCACCAACAAACAGTACCAACAAACAGCACCAAGCCCCAACAAAACGTCCACTACCACCACAGCCACAACAACAACCACGACCACAACCGCAGACGCAAACGCGACCACCACCAACCAACGAACCAACCAAGCAACCAACCAACCAACCAACCAACCAAGCAAGCAAGCAAGCAAGCAAGCAAGCAACCAACCAACCAAGCAAACAAGCAAACAAGCAAACAAGCAAACCAGCAAACCAGCAAGCAAGCAAGCAAGCAAGCAAGCAAGCAAACAAACACACAAAACTGCTAAACCAGCACAACAATACCCAAAGTTGTGCCGAAGCTAATGTTTCAGCTGATTCTGAAATCCC